ATGTCCACAACTTACCCTCTGGTAATGACTAATGTCGCTATTGAACATGGCCATTTATAGTGGATTTACCCATTGAAAATGGTGATTTTCTATAGTTATGTTAGTTGATTTTCCCACATAGCATGCTGATGGATTCCAGTTCGCAAACTGTAAACGTTTACTCTAGAGGGTATCACAATTTCGCTATTTTCACCAGTTCTGGGAAACGTTTTTCCTTTTTTTTTTCCTTTTCATCCTATTACATAATATCTATTCATTGTGAATCACATCTTATTTCTGTTCGGATGAAAAACTTGAAAAAGGCTAAATCAATGGATCCGTATTCTGGAGAAGCATAAATGGCAACAGTGCGATGGTACGGTACTCCCCATGACAATCCATGACATTCCAAGACTCTGTTGGTTTTATACCATCAAAATGGTCTGAGATCCGATTTCATTCCAATTCTTTCAATGATAGTGGAAGTCCAACATTTTTTACCCTCTGGTTATGACTAACAGTTTGCCATGGTTAAGCCATGGCCCTAATCGAAATAGATGGTTTACCGAACTTAATAGCATGGTGGATCTTTCCATGGCGAACTGTTAGTCATAACCAGATGGTAGTTCCAACAGTTTCCAACAATGATATCTCCATTATCATGTCCATTCCAATAGGGTTCATTGGTGTTCCGTATGATTCTCCACAGTTTTTTTTTGTTTTTTCCCATGACATTCCCCTTGCAGGTCCTGGCTGGTCAGGTGCGGGTCTGGGTGGAGCTGATACCTAGACATGGTGTTTCATCCCACATGAACTATGTACTTTGACCATGTTTTTGAGGGTATTTGGAGGGTCAAACGGTAGTTTCATTTGGAGAGGCTATGCTTGGGACTCATGGTGAGCTGTGACTAGTGGAGGTATATGACATCCTAATGGGATGTCATTGGATTTAAGACAGGACTTCACCTCCATTGCCGTTGCAAAATGATGGGCTTTGAAGATGTGAACATGTTGAACGCCATTTTATCATATTTCCACATTTTTTCATGATTTCAATCAAGTCCTTCTTTCAGCCATTGTAATAGCGCATCATCTTATGGATTTACATGATATCGTGCAAATGGACTGCAAAACATTTGGGCCCAGTTTTGGACAACTGATCAGTTGCGATGGTCGCCATTCGACTAAAAAAAACCGCAGTGGTTTTGAAGATCTTTGAATCTCCAAAAGCATCCTCAGTTCAGACGGTTCCAACAAGCAAAATGCATCATTTGATTGGTCTGGAATTCCCGAAAAAAATGGCCTAAGAGGAGGCCCTCAATTGCCGGTTGTATGGGTTGTATGCCGCGCCATGGATTTTGAAACATCACACATCATGAAACTACGGAATGTTGAGGGGGGTGATGATGTGGATTTTAATTTCGTGATAGCTGGGCAACTGGGCCAACTCTCCCGGGCAGGTCACGAAAACCGAGGGAGAGGAGGTGCTGTGGGAGTTGCGGATTTTCCAGCTTGCCAGCTGACTACTGGAGGAGACTCCAAACAGGGGCCATAAAAATGACTCCGGTTAGGAATGGTGTAGAAATGAGAATGGGGATAACTTAACCAGAAAACCAACCAGAAAACTGGTTTGTGTTCAAAGATGTGTCTGTAAAAAAGCCCCAGTTACGACAATGATCACTAAAAAACTTCGGCAGCTGCGAGTCCACCAGCTCCAACTATCGCTTCTCAGCCATACTGCAAAAAATCCATCACCATTTGGCGGATTCACTTTCAACTTAGTCAAAAAACCATTTGTTGAAATCAAAGGTGGGACCTTTGGAAGTGGGACCTTTGTATTCAATTGATGAATTCTTGGGACATTTGTTGAATGAACAAAAAAAACGAGTCATTTTTGGACCTTTGGAATCTGACTGGACCTTCACCAGTCGTATCCATCGATCCATCGAATCCCTGAACTTTTCACCAGGCGTTAGATCCAAAGGTCTTGGAGGACTGTGAGCTCATGGTCGAGGACGCGGGACCCCGGGACGACATGGGACGACATGGGACGACATGGGACGACAGTTTGGCGAGGAGTCATGGGGCTTACGTGTGGTTACCCGTGTTGCCCCAGTGGTCACCATGGCCTGTTTTCAAGATGTTTCAATGATTTTTTGGGGCACTTAGATGCACGAATTGGACGCCCCAATTCGTTCGATGATTGGCTGGCCATGTTCCAAAACGCGAAGTGTTTGGGATGGGTTCAGTTCACTGATTTGGATGAAGCACCAGGCGGCATGGTGCGGAAGTTGCCCCGTTCTCCCCCATGCAACATGGTGGATTTCAGAGGCATCACCTGGATGTCAATTTAAAGGCCCAAAGCACCATGCTGCCCAGGCCAATGACCACTTTCTGCACAACGTGGATTTGCAGAAAGTGGAGGCCACGTGGTGACATTCCTGTAGCTAGCAGAGGGTATCCCATTCAATATTTTACATGATATCCCCAGTGAAAACATTATTTTGAACCTACGAACTGGGTAGGGAGTTGCCAGCTGAAGGCCACCAGCACCCTGTGTGGATGCCAATCACTCATTAACGCATATTGAGAAGTGGAGTTTTAACGTTAATAATCTGAATCCAAATCACTCGTACAGATCTATAAAAATCATTCTTATATATATATATAGAATTATATATATATATATCACTTATAGTATGGATCATTATAGATCCTTATAGATCCTTATAGACTACTATCGATCATGATAGATCAATATAATATAGATCATGATAGACTATTATAGATTGTTGTAGATCAATATCCAAGGCAGAACAGGTGTTATGATCTAATCGGTGCTACTTGCCAGGAGCAAGCTGGAGAGGCGCGACTTGGGGTCCCAACTTATGAGTCTAAATGGCACTGCGCGCTGCGCTCTGAGAATGGTGAGATATGGTGAGTCAATCAATGGGGAGTCAATATGGTGGTTTAATGGTGGTTTAATGGTGGTTTGATGATGTTTGATGGTGATTTAATGATTCAATCATGATTTGATGTTGATATACAATGATTTACATATACCGTTTGCCCCTCCAAATACCACCCAAAATTGCTAAAAGTACATGGTTATTAGATGTTATTATGGGCCAAACCACCATAACAGTATGGGTACTTGGAGGGATATTCGGTACCCCCAGAGACCAGGCATGATGATCACCAGAGACCGATTTTTCAGACGACGTTTCTTCGCACTGGCTGAGGTCACGAATTGCTGTGCCAACATGACATGATTATCATGAACGACTATTTGAACAAGTTATAATAAGTTTATATCTCCCTGATTTTGAGATTTGGTTCTGCAGGTTCTGTGTCGTCTTTTTCACGCGCTGGGTATCATGTGTTGTCTGACCTGGGCATGTGTTTTGCACAGGTTGGGCTTGCCAACTCACGTCCAATAATTGTCAAAGATGCTATGTATGATGTTATGCAGCGGCTTCATAGTTTATGACACGCTTGCATCTACCAGACACGAAGTCACAGCTGTCCTTTGATGATACCGAAACGTTAGGTTCATCTGAGAGACTCAGTGAAGACTACGTTTCTTCGCCATTACTGGCTGAGGTCACGAATTGCTGTGCCAACATGACATGATTATCATGAACGACTATTTGAATAATTTTATATCTTCATGATTTTGAGATTTTGTTCCGCAGGTTCTGTGTCGTCTTTTTCACGCGCTGGGTATCATGTGTTGTCTGACCTGGGCATGTGTTTTGCACAGGTTGGGCTTGCCAACTCACGTCCAATTGTCAAAGATGCTATGTATGATGTTATGCAGCGGCTTCATAATTTCTGACACGCTTGCATCTACCAGACACGAAGTCACAGCTGTCCTTTGATGATACCGAAACGTTAGGTTCATCTGAGAGACTCAGTGAAGACTACGTTTCTTCGCCATTACTGGCTGAGGTCACGAATTGCTGTGCCAACATGACATGATTATCATGAACGACTATTTGAATAATTTTATATCTTCATGATTTTGAGATTTTGTTCCGCAGGTTCTGTGTCGTCTTTTTCACGCGCTGGGTATCATGTGTTGTCTGACCTGGGCATGTGTTTTGCACAGGTTGGGCTTGCCAACTCACGTCCAATTGTCAAAGATGCTATGTATGATGTTATGCAGCGGCTTCATAATTTCTGACACGCTTGCATCTACCAGACACGAAGTCACAGCTGTCCTTTGATGATACCGAAACGTTAGGTTCATCTGAGAGACTCAGTGAAGACTACGTTTCTTCGCCATTACTGGCTGAGGTCACGAATTGCTGTGCCAACATGACATGATTATCATGAACGACTATTTGAATAATTTTATATCTTCATGATTTTGAGATTTTGTTCCGCAGGTTCTGTGTCGTCTTTTTCACGCGCTGGGTATCATGTGTTGTCTGACCTGGGCATGTGTTTTGCACAGGTTGGGCTTGCCAACTCACGTCCAATAATTGTCAAAGATGCTATGTATGATGTTATGCAGCGGCTTCATAGTTTATGACACGCTTGCATCTACCAGACACGAAGTCACAGCTGTCCTTTGATGATACCGAAACGTTAGGTTCATCTGAGAGACTCAGTGAAGACTACGTTTCTTCGCCATTACTGGCTGAGGTCACGAATTACTGTCCCAACATGACATGATTATCATGGACAACTATTTGAATAATTTTATATCTTCATGATTTTGAGATTTGGTTCTGTAGGTTCCGTGCCGTCTTTTTCATGCGCTGGTTTTAATTGCTGGTCATAGCTAGCGTCGGAACTGCTTGCAGATGATGTGCATGAAGGCCCGGCGCCCCGCAGCTTTTAGTGGCTTAGTTCACCTTGGGTAACCTGTTTGTCTTAGATCAAATCAAGTTGTTGTCATGTCATGAATTTTCATCACTTTCAATCCCCCCAAGTATGGTAACTTCATGCAACTTGTAGGTCTTTGCCGAGTTTTTTCCAATAGAACCTCGGCGTTTTCCATGCAACCAGCAGTTAACACAGTTGACCAGCTTCATCCGGTGAGCGATGGCGTGTGACACGTCACAATTTCACCAGGTGTCCGTTTTTTTTCTCGGTCCTTGCAGCCTGGTACCTTCAAAAAACGATGCTGAAGAACCAAGTAGTCCCATCATGACAGGCTCAGCATGCTCACCATATGACAGCGCAAATGTTCACAGACAATTTCGATGAAGCAGTAACGATCTAGAATCTGAATCATCAATCTGAAAGCTACCAAACTGCATGGTGGTCTCACCTACAATTCTTCAATCCAACAACCAATCCATACTTCAAAATCCACCCAACATTTCCAAGTCTATATAGAAATACCATCCCAAAAAGTGCTCCCAAAAAGAACGCAACAAATTCCCATCCCCGCAAACCTGACAACCATGCAAAAACGGGGTTAAATCCCATGAAATCCTCTTACAGTAATTTCATCCCTTGAGACGGAAAAAATATGAAAACATCTAGTGAAATCCATGTGAAATCCCCTTATTTTTCCAGTGAATTCCCGATTTTTTCCTAATTTTTCCAGGTTTTCCAGGTGCAAAATCCCCAACAAACATCCAGATCCAGGTGGGTTGCGGCCATCACTTCGAGTTGCGCCGACCCTTGGCGAAGCCCACAGCCCGGAAGTGCGCCGGCTGCGGGGAAGACGTGTTGCAGCACGCGCGAGGTGCGCCACTTCTTTTTGGGGCCTTGGGGCAGTTTTATGATGTTTAATGGGGGTAAAACAATAAACCACCCATCATAATAATCATAATAAACCACCCAAAAATTGTTTATATTTTGTTAGTTTATTATGGGCCTTGGGTGTTTATAATGGGGGTAAAACAATAAACCACCCATCATAATAATCATAATAAACCACCCAATAATTGTTTATATTTTGTTAGTTTATTATGGGCTTTGGGTGTTTATAATGGTGGTAAAACAATAAACCACCCATGACTGGGAATGGAAAGTTTATACCACCTATTTATGGTGAATTTGGGGGTGGTTTATCATTGTTTTACCAACATTATAGATTTTGAAATTGGATTCTTCTATTTTCTTTGTTTAAAGAACCATCGTCCCTTTTCAACATATAATTTTGAAAGATTGGTGGGGTTTTCTTTTGGTCAGAAGGCGATGGGGAGAAAACGAGGAGCGGAAATGGGCAAGTTGAGTTTCGGGAGATGACTCATGCTATGGTGCTGTGCCACTTCTTCCTCTGGTTTCAAGGGTCGCTTTGTCTGAAGATGTTGGGAACACAACCGTAAATCCAGTGGTGGTCAGTGGTTAATCATTGTTTCCCTGAAGACATCTGAAGACGTAATGATGGTAGCGGTACTTGGTTGGCAACGGATGGTTCTTTTTCTACGCACCTTTCCTTACTTGTTTGGAGATCGTGATTGTATCCACATGCATGAAGATACTATTCATGATCTAATGATTATGCGTTGGCATCATGATTATGTGAGTCTATGCATTTTCAAGAAGCAGATCTGCAAGTGGGAGTTCCCGACCTTGTGTTTTCTTCCATTTCCTAGACATCAATGTTGTCAACAAGAATGTCATTGCAAGTTTTCTTGTACACATTCTTGCAGAACAATGTCCATGCGGCTATCAAGATGGCTGCTCGGAGGGAGAAGCTTTTGCCACCGGGTCGAAAACCGAACATGTAGGTGTGCACGTTTTCTGCGACAACAAGATTTTGGCCCGGTGGTTTGTTGATGCAATTGATATGATGTTGATGTTAAGTTTTGCACAAGTGGCTGGGCTGGCTGATACTAGTAACGTTCATTCGCCTGGGTTTCAAGATGCTCTTGAGGCTACGCTATGGACTTTCTCGAGTCAATTTTGATACACTCTTGATGCTACGCTATGGATTTTGTTGAGTAACTTCTGACAAGCTCTTGAGGCAACCCTATGGACCTTCTCAAGTATCTTTTGACAAACTCTTGATGGTATGCCATGGACTTTCTCAAGTAACTTTTGACACACTCTTGATGCTACGCCATGGACTTTGTCAAGCAACTTCTGACAGGCTCTTAATGCTACGCTATGGGCTTTCTCGAGAAACTTCTGACAGGCTTTTGATGCTATGCTATTGACTTTCTCAAGTAACTTCTGACGCGCTCTTGATGCTACGCTATAGACTTTCGCAAGTAATTTTTGACACGCTCTTGATGCTACGCTATTGACTTTCTCAAGTAACTTTTGACACACTCTTGATGCTACGCCATGGACTTTGTCAAGCAACTTCTGACAGGCTCTTGATGCTATGCTACGGGCTTTCTTGAGAAACTTCTGACACGCTCTTGATGCTACGCTATTGACTCTCTCAAGTAACTTCTGAGACGCTCTTGATGCTATACTATGGACTTTCGCAAGTAATTTTTGACTCGCTCTTGATGCTACGCTATTGACATTCTCAAGTAACTTTTGACACACTCTTGATGCTACGCCATGGACTTTGTCAAGCATCTTCTGACAGGCTCTTGATGCTATGCTATGGACTTTGTCAAGTAACTTCTGACAGGCTCTTGATGCTACGCTATGGACTTTCGTGAGTAATTTTTGAGACGCTCTTGATGCTATGCTATGGACTTTGTCAAGTAACTTCTGACAGGCTCTTGATGCTACGCTATTGACATTCTCAAGTAACTTTTGACACACTCTTGATGCTACGCCATGGACTTTGTCAAGCAACTTCTGACAGGCTCTTGATGCTATGCTATGGACTTTGTCAAGTAACTTCTGACAGGCTCTTGATGCTACGCTATGGACTTTCGTGAGTAATTTTTGAGACGCTCTTGATGCTATGCTATGGACTTTGTCAAGTAACTTCTGACAGGCTCTTGATGCTACGCTATTGACATTCTCAAGTAACTTTTGACACACTCTTGATGCTACGCCATGGACTTTGTCAAGCAACTTCTGACAGGCTCTTGATGCTATGCTATGGACTTTGTCAAGTAACTTCTGACAGGCTCTTGATGCTACGCTATGGACTTTCGTGAGTAATTTTTGAGACGCTCTTGATGCTATGCTATGGACTTTGTCAAGTAACTTCTGACAGGCTCTTGATGCATGCTATGGACTTTCTCGAATAACTTTTGACAAGTTCTTGATGCTACGCTACCATTGACAGTGCCTGGGTTTATTTGAACACGATCCCTTCCAGTCTCAGCTCCAAGTCATCTCAAATTGAAACCGCGCATGTCATTCACCTGCTTGTGGCTACTGGCAACGAACTCAATCCCAGGTGAAGAAGGACAAAAAACAAATCGCGCGAATTCAAATGCCACAGAATCGAGGTAAAATAACATTCATTTTCAAAAAAAAAATGGTTCCTTATTTTTCAATTTTCGGATCCCCCAAACCTTGAAAAACATATAAACATGTTTTTTTTCTTTAAGGAAACACAGGCAAAATCCAAAACACACTGTAATTATTGTAATTACATGCATTTTGAGCTTGCCAAGGTGTCAAAAACACTGTAAATACCACGTTTCTCAAAGTTGATGAAGTCGTAAAATTGCAACGACTACGCGTTCAGTTCCTGACCCGGCGAGAAGTTTTTCTTTTTTCTTCTGCTTCACATGAAGTCCATCACAGTTTTGGTGTTTTTTACTTTGTACATGTGAAAAACCCAGCTCGCAAGTTATAGATATCAAGTGACTGGTCAAACCCACTTGAGCCATTGAAAATACCCTGGTTGATTTGTGAATATAGGGACTCACACTACCTAATTTATTAGGGATTGTGATAGTCCATAGTAAGGAAACCTCTCAAGCAACTAGTATAATGCGATGAGATAGGAGTATTTTTAACAGCTCAAGTCGAGATGTTACATATATTTGGTTGAATGTTAGTGACCTCACTGTGACCTCACTGGAATCAGGGTTAGCGAGGGGCTTCATCCCAAAATAGCATTGCTTCAGGTTAGTGAACTAATATAAATTTACCCATATACATTATCTATATACATATGCATGTCCCATTGTACCCACTGGATAGCTGCCAACCCTAGTACCTTGGTTAACTACATTCCTGCTTGAGGTGAAGTCGCGGATGAAGACTTCATGTCCGTACCGTGGCATTTGAAATGGGCTACGGAATTTTCATGTTTTTTTTTCCAGATTCCCCCGTTTTTTTTTCAGAAACCTATCCTCAAAGGTACTGCGGCAGGAAGCCAGCAAGCAAGCCAGCAAGCCAGCAAGGGAGGAAGGGAGGGCAGCCAGCCCACCAAGCACCCACTTAAGCAAGGACAGCCAGCAAGCAAGCAAGCATACACGCACGCACGCAAGCAAGCAAGCGAGCAAGGGAGGCAGGGAGGCAGGGAGGGAGGGAGGCAGGGAGGCAGGGAGGCAGGGGGACAGCCAGCGGCAAGCCTGCTGGCAAGCAAGCCAGCCAGCAAGCAAGCAAGGGAGGAGTCCCAGGGAGGAGGGAGGGAACAAGCATAATCCAACCCTAAAGATCCTAACACACCCTGAGCGTACCAATAAGAAAGAGTAAACCAAACAGAAATAGACCTTTCCAAACCCAAATAATCCATAAACATCCATGAGCTAAACCTATATAAGCCACAAACAAACCCTAAATAATTTCAATCCAGCAATCCAGCCCCAAATAAACACACTAAACCAACCCGAAACAAACTTAAACCAAAAGCCTAAGCCAACCTGCAAGAAACGTTGAACCAACCCTAAACAAACAGCTTAAAGCAACCACGGAGAAATCAACATGTTGAAATCTTCAACCAACCTTAAACAAACATCTTAAACCAAACTTAAATCAACAAACATAAGCCTAAAACAAGTTATCACAAAACATAAACCTAGGGAAAAACATCAACCTTAAAACTAATTCTACGTCAACCTTACATCAATCCTAAGCAAACCCTAAACCAACCTTGCAGGAACCTTAAGCCAACCCCCAAAAAATCTGAAACCAGCCCTACACAAGCACCTTAAAGATACCCTAAATAAATTCCAAACCATCCGCAAATAAACAAGCTGATCCAACCATCAGTGAACAACTCAAACCAACGGTAAATGGGCCCGCGGCCGGCCCTCAGCGGGCAGCTTGAATCCTTGTGTCGATTTTAAGCTATAAACCACCCATAAATAGACATCCTGACCGAGCCTAAACCAAACACAAACCAAAACCAATCTTAAATTAAGACCCCAAACCCAATAACGAAACTTGAAAGAAACAATGTTCAAACCATTTGTAAACAAATTTAAAACAATCCCCAAACAACCCCGCGAACCAACTTTTAAATAAACCCTAAACTAACCCTGAACCAACCCTAAATGCACCCTGAACGTACCGAGAGAAACAACACAAACTAAACTTAAACAAACCCTAGCACATCTAAATATTTCATAAACCAACTCTAAATAAACAACAAAAAACCTCAACAAATTTACACCACATCTTACATAAACACCCTAAGCCAACCTGAAATCAGCTTGAACCAAATTTATGGAAACCCTAAACCCTGAATCAACATTCTAAACCAGATAAAAATTTAAACCAACTATATGTAAATACAACCCCAAAATACCTTAAATCTTTAAACTAGCCTTGAATAAATTTCAAGCCAACCCTGAAGAAACACACAAACAACTTTACATAAGTATCTCAAACAAAACCAAAACAAACCATAACTTTGACAGCAAATAAACCCCAAATGAACCTTAAATCAACTTCAAACCTTTCCCAAGAACTCAAAAAAAACAGCCCGAAGCCAACCCTAAACAAGCTTTTAACCAACCCTAAACAAACCCTAAACCAATCCCAAATAAACCCCAAAGCAGCTATACCTACTAAATAAACGCCAAAATCACCGAAAATGAATCATAATCAACCCCCAAATGAACCTTGAATCTGGCGCATACATTTTTGATGATTTTTCGTTGAGACGAGAACATGCTGGGGACCACTGGGGTTGCAGAACTGGTGTTGTTCCCCACCTGCCAGGTGAGGGTTGTTAGATTTTATGTCAGTTGCCTCCTCCTCCTCCTCCTTCTCCTCCTTCTCCTCCTCCTTCTCCTCCTCATCCTCCTCCTCCTCCGCCTCCTCCTGCCTCGTCCTCCTCTCCTCCTCCTCCTCGTCCTCCTCGTCGTCCTCGTCGTCCTTGCTCAACTGCGACCCGCGATCCACAGTGTTCTCTGCCGGACCTCAACCACGACCATCCACGCCCAGTGTTCCCTGCCGGACCTCAACCACGACCATCCACGCCCAATGTTCCCTGCCGGACCTCAACCACGACCATCCTCGCCCAGTGTTCCCTGCCGGACCTCAACCACGACCATCCACGCCCAGTGTTCCCTGCCGGACCTCAACCGCGAGTATCCACGCCAAGTGTTCCCTGCCGGACCTCATGTAGGAAGATATGGGACAAAGAATGTGCAGAAGAAAGTTAGAAAGAATGTCAGAAAGAATGTCAGAAGATATGCCAGAAGATATGCCAGATAGAATGCCAGATAATATGCCAGAAGATATGCCAGATAGAATGCCAGATAGAATGCCAGAAGATTTGCCAGATAGAATGCCAGAAAATATGCCAGAAGATATGCCAGATAGATATGCCAGAAGATATGCCAGAAGATATGCCAGAAGATATGTCAGAATATATGCCAGAAGATATGTCAGATAGAATGCCAGAAATATGCCAGAAGATATGCCAGAAGATATGCCAGAAGAATGCCAGAATTTGCCAGATAGAATGCCAGAAGATGCCATGCCAGAAGATATGCCAGAAGATATGCCAGATCATAATGCCAGAAGATATGCCAGATAGAATGTCAAATAGAATGTCAGAAGATATGTCAGATAGAATGCCAGAAGATTTGCCAGTAAGAAAATGTATAAATGTCATGGTGGGGATCACACGAAGTAAAATAATTTTTCTGGCGAAAAAATGATATGGGGCCCCCGCTGTGATGATGTAACTTATACAACCACTGTCACTACCCACAGTTGGGATATCCCCAGTATTACTTTGATAATTATATTTAATCATAACTGGAACTGCAGCCGCAAAGTATATCGTTCAGCCACACTGGGAGAAACATAGTTTATAGGTTCTTCGAGGTTAGCCAGGATGATAGAAGTCCGCTGGACATGGAACATTGCGCTATCCAAGAAAAAGGTTGCGGAACATGGTCTTTCAAATCAATTTCTTCCATATTACCCCTTTAGTTCCTTCGCTTCGGCATTGAAAAGTGCCAAACGCGTCAAACGTGACATTCTGTGGAGCGCTGCCAGCACCAAGATATTGAATGTGACGGATGACCAGCAAGCGAGTGTGGTGCTGGAAGGACACAGATGTTGGCGGCTGAACATGGTTCAAAACTTGTCTTCCACACAGGATTTCCGCACATTGCCATTTAATTGGAATTCATAGTATATATATATTATATTAATTTATATATATTATATATATATATATAAAAATAGAGTTTTAAAATCAGTGTATTGGTATATACCCCCAGGCCGGGCGTGCCGCCCGAAGGTCTGGAGAATTCTGGGACTTTGGGAAGTGGTGACTTAGAGAAGTGGTGACTTTGAGAAGTGGTGTCGTAGGGAAGTGGTGACGTGGGGATGCGGTGACTAAGTGGAAGTGGTGACCTTGGGAAGTGGTGACTTAGGAAAGTAGTGACTGAGGGAAGTGGTGAGCGCGAAACAGTGTGTTTTTCCGTGTAACGTGGGTTCAGCCTATGATGAGCAGTTGTAAATCGCATTGTTATGGCTGCAGGATTGTTGCATTGGACTTGTGTTTGCGAGGATGGTGGGGCACGAAACATTGTGGCTCGGATCAAGCATGTTGCCTATAGGTGAGGTGCGTGAAGTTGGGAGGAAGTAGAGGTCGGAGATGGATGGGGAAAAGAATCAGCACGAGGTGAACATGTTTGCGTGCAATCTGCAGCGAATGAATATCATGAATGATATCATTCATCTTCTGATGCCCGCAGATCCAGCACTGTCCAGCACCCTCCAGCGCTTTCCTCTTCGCTCTTACACCGTCTCCGCTCCTCTGTCGTCGGATTCTGACTTCTGAGAATGAATACACGGCATCATGTGGATCATTGTGAAACCCACCTAAATCCTGAGGCCATGGTCGCTGCCTCAAAGGTTTGGGTGCACAAATGTGCACGCCCCCAAGACAAACGGCGCCACGGCAGGCGCGCAAACAAGCAGCTATGAGAATGTGTGGATCCAACGCAGCAAACCTCCAACAGTCACAGGGTAGATGTTTTCGTGATGGGAGGACTGCCAACGAGAGGGCAGTTGCCAAGAAGGAAAAGGCACAGTGCAAGGTGACTTTTTGTGTTACAAAAAAAACACGATAATCAACGCACGATGTACTGTAATTGGGTTTGGAGGTGCTTGCGGAGCGACAAGCACGGAACGAAAGGTTCAACGAAGCCTTGCAGCACCCAGAGGTGAAGGACGGATCAAGCACGGGCTTTCAAAATTGCATTGACATATGCAAATTCGGAAAGGAACTTTCCATTGTCTGCTTGTTGTCGGCAGAAACTGCGCTATTTCGCCCGCTTGGTCCTGGCCCACCGAGTGGCGGATGGCAAGGCAGGAGAGCTGTATGAACCTGCTTGCTGCAAAAACCATCTTTCGTCCATTTGATGTGCATAACTTGCGCCCATCTTGGACCACTTAGCTCACAACTTGGGCCCAGCTTGGCCCTACTGGGATCCAATTTGCTGCAACTTTTTTCTTCCCCGGGCAGCACCTCCGTCCTGGCCGTGTCTATATATAGGTGTATTATATATATGTATGTAACTACTTGTAACTACATACATTGCATTCCACACAGATTTTCCCCATGGCGTCAATGGCGTTGCGCCGTTTGCGATCCCAGGAGAGCTGGCTTTGGGGTCCTTCAAGGCGGCTCTGCGATTGGCGAAGGCCTGGCATTGGGATGGGAGCCCTTGGAGGACTCTCCAACAAAACATAGATAGTTGCAGGACGAAGTGAACTCCATCATCCCAGGGATCACGTTTGGGCGGAAACTGGATTGATTGGATAGGATTAAACATGAGTCATGTAGGCCTTTGTGGTTATGAGGTTCACCTCTTTTACGGTTGGGAACAAACCTGGAGAATGGCTCACCAAAAGCTCGACCCTCCCTAAGTCTCGAAAGTTAGTAATTTTACTCGCCCTGAATTTTACGTAAAATCGACTGTTTTACTAACGTTATTTTACGTAAAATTTTACTAACGTTAGTAAAATTTACTAACGTTAGTAAAATTTTACTAATGTCAGTAAATGATTTTACTAACGTTAGTAAAATTTTGCATGTTTTCAAAAATTGTGAAAATTGTGTTTTTTTTTTCTATTGTTTTTCTTAGGAATTGTGATATGTTTGTGATGTGTGTGATTGTGGTTTGCGATGATTTGGTTATGAGTGGGGTGTTTCCAGTGGAGGATTTCAATCGATATGTTGTTGTTTCTGTAGAAGAAACTGCACTTATGTGTTGAGGAATGACTTTACATGAGTTTGTACTGGAGACCTTACTTGCGATTTTATATGAGGAGTTCTTGATACTTTCTTGGGACTTTACCTGAGAGTTCTTTTGAGATGTTATGTGAAACCATGTACATCTATATCTATATCTATATATCTATATAAACATATAAACTGGATTTACATAAGTATAGGTGAATCCACAAAAGGAATTTACATTGGATCTTGACTTTAAGAAGTCATTGCAAAGCATTTACATTTGAAAAATAAAGTCTAGAAATTTTTTTGGGTAAATGAGACTAGGTGAAATATCAAAGCAATAATAACCACATCTTATCATTTTTTCCAGGCAAGGAAAGTGAAACAAACTTTATTGGATCAGGTTTCTTTGCTACAAAACTTGATCAACTTACATAAAACAATTGTCCATGGGGACTGAAGACATGTCTTTTTCAAAGCTAAATTTAAAAGGGAGCTCATAGACTCTTGTGGTGCTTTTTTTCTCATACAATTTGGAGAAGGTCTGGGTGAAATCCTGGTGAACCTTTGGCTGGCTTGAAAAGATACATCCAAGAAGTCTTAGTGAGACCCTTACTCCACTTTCAATTCCATATGAATATTTTTTTCACATGTGTCCAAAGATTTTTTTCAGAAAAATGCTTGAACACGGCCAAAAATGTAATGCACTTCTGATGCTTTTGGTACACTTTTGATGCACTTTTGGTGCACTTTTGATGCACTTTTGGTGCACTTTTGATGCACTTTTGATGCACTTTTGATGCACTTTTGATGCACTTTCAAAAGTGATGCACTTTTGATGCACTTTTGATGCACTTTTACCGTCTTTTGATGCACTTTTGATGCACTTTTTAAAAGTGCATCAAAAGTGCGTCAAAAGCGCGTCAAGAATTTATGGCATTTTTCTTGGAAAAAAATTAAAATGATAAGGTTCTCTCTCAAAAAGAGATTGCATGCATTGAGTTTGAAGGAAAACTGATTCAGTGCAGTCTCAAGTAAGGTGCAAAGTGCAATGATAGCAAACTCAGTAAAGTTCACTGACAACAGTCTCAAGTAAAGTTCACTGGCAACAGGCCCGAGTAAAGTTCATTGGATGCAGCCTCAAGTAAAGTTTATCGGATGGAGCCTCAAGCAAAGTTCATTGGATGCAGTCTCAAGTAAATTTCACTGACAGCAGTCTCAAGTAAAGTTCACTGACAACAGGCTCAAATAAAGTGCACTGACAACAGTCTCAAGTAAAGTTCACTGACAGCAGGCTCAAGTAAAGTTCATCGGATGCAGTCTCAAGCAAAGTTCATTGGATGCAGTCTCAAGTAAAGTTCATTGGATGCAGCCTCAAGTAAAGTTTATTGGATGCAGCCTCAAGCAAAGTTCATTGGATGCAGTCTCAAGTAAAGTTCACTGACAGCAGTCTCAAGTAAAGTTCACTGACAACAGGCTCAGGTAAAGTGCATTGACAACAGTCTCAAGTAAAGTTCACTGACAGCAGGCTCAAGCAAAGTTCATCGGATGCAGTCTCAAGTAAAGTTCATTGGATGCAGTCTCAAGTAAAGTTCACTTACAGCAGTCTCAAGTAAAGTTCATTGGATGCAGTCTCAAGTAAAGTTCATTGGATGCAGTCTCAAGTAAAGTTCACTTACAGCAGTCTCAAGTAAAGTTCATTGGATGCAGCCCCAAGTAAAGTGCAGTGTCAACATTCTCAAGTAAAGTCTTTATGCAGAAAAGTTTCTTGGATCTGTTTTCATGTAAAGCCAACCTCAGCGAACAGCAGCAGCACTTATTTTTTTCACACCCCAATGCAAGCTATCAGGAATTGACCCTCTATCTTTCTTTCAGAATGTTTTCGTTTTGCGGCAAAGGACATATCCTTATGCAGGTTCCACATGCTAATTTCTTCACATTCCTCAACAATATTTGCATATTCATTCTGCTTCTTATCAAATTCAAGGAAATTCGAAAACCTATCACACATCTTCTGGCACATTTTTGATGCATTTTTGATGCATTTTTGATGCACTTTTCCTTTTTTTTTACATTTTGCTAATTTTGCAAAAATCAACAAAAGTTTTACGTAAAATCTTCTGGATTAGTAAAATTACTAAATTAGTAAAATTACTAGCTTTCGAGACTTAGGGCTTGATCCCCTGCAGGACGATCCAAAGGTGGTCGTGGTGATGCTTGGAGCAGTTGAGCAACGACCAAATCTTCTGCTAGGTTTCAAATTTGCAAAAAAAATGACCAGATTGGGGAGGCCGTGATGGTACGAAGTCCTGGTTATTTTGACAAAAACTATTATAGACAATTTAGGATGGGATGATGGTACCTTATTTTTGGACAAATGAAAAAATTATGTCGAGCAGAATCGGGGAAAATCAAGTTCCAACATCATGGGAAGTGTTTACTGCACCTGCCATCTTTGTTGGTGCACAAGAAAATAAGTTTTGGATCGATGACGTTTCGCCGTGGTTTTTGTAAATCTGCATTGAGGAACTGCGCTGGAACAAAACTCCATGACTTCTTGCCTGCCACCAGGTACCGACTGCATCGACTTGTTCTGGGGTTAGTGGGACGCTTTCAACGCAGTTTTTTGTGGTATGATCCGTTCCATTCCTCTTGGGGTGCAAACAAATTTAAGCCGTTTTCATCCTTTTTCCAGGTAGATTGGATGAACATATAGATCGAAACAAGGTTTTCTGTTTTTTTTTGAAACCGAATCGTTTCTCTTTCCGATTTTCACCACAGGGGGACTGAACTCAGCGCGCGGAACCCCTGGTTTGGTGATTCGGCTAGGGATGGTTGTCCGATGCTGAACGTTCAGGCACTTTCAGTAACCAAACAAACCCTGAGAATCGATGTCGGCATATACGGCATATACATCAAAAATAGCGATGTAGCCAAAATACGGCTACATCTACGTTAACGCTTGATTTTGGTGACATTTGTCGGAATCTTTCGGAAATCTACCGGATTTTGTCGGAAATCGATGAAAAAACGCAGACATCCTTTGTTTCGAAGATGCACATGCGAGTTGATCATGGCCATATGTAGTTCAAAATCGTGACAAATCGTGATGAATCATTTTTTTGCCACTTAAAATTATGACATTTGTCGAAAATACCGTGACAAAACATGATGAACCGTGATCTCTTCAGGATTGACCCCTCATCTTATATCAGCCCCTGTTACTTTTCGCTCGTGCTCACCGCATTTTACGGTAAAATTATGGTTCCCGCAAATGTTGCCAAATTTTGGCTACAGACGTCAAGTAATGCATACGGACGTCAAAAAACAAGGTTTACCGCAAATGTCAGCAAATAGACCCAGCATTTGATTCACAGGGAAGGAATGCAAGGAGTTATTCACCGACATCAAACACAACCCCCTATGAATCGGGGTTGTTGATGGATTCCAGTCCCCAGGGAACCAATGGATGCTTTGAGGAAGGAGCAACGGGTCTTGGACTTGGAATGGGAGGACCGGGCTCCAAACCTCCAACCTGTTTCCTGCGGGATGGTGGTAGGAAACCTGGGTTGAAAGGGCGGGGCTATGGAACCAACTGTTGAGAAGAGGGGATTTCAATTTTGTCCAACAGTCTATTTGCGGAATCGTTCAAGTATTCAACGAATTAATCAAGGTGGCATCGTGCTTGTCTACCTTTCATAGGGGATCCTGATTCTGACGGACTCAGATGTTTTCTATGACAAGACTCTGCGCATATCCACTAGTGATGTCTGTGTAGTAAACATCTCTGAGATGTACATGATATCCATTGATATCCTCTACCATACACTACTTAACTACTTGATTGAGTCATATTCCCATGTGTGTTGGTCAGCAGCCCATCATTTATGGTCCGTTCCCTTGTTCAGTTTCTCCCGCATGATCCTTTAAAGACGAATTTTACCACATTTTACGCATGAAATTGAGATTTGAAAGTCCAAAAGCATCCACAAGCCGGATTTTTTGGCGTCCTGGCAATTGTCAGTCTATGCATCTATACAATTCCAGGTTTAACATCGTACAATTCCATGTCTAGCGGACCTTTCAATGTTTTTCATCTGTGAATAGATGGGTATGGGTCAATACCTATAGATACATTTTTAGTGGGATGAACATCCATTTACCAGCTATTTTGATGTTCACCAGGGGTACAAGGTTTTGACACACTGCCATCTGTGAATAGATGATTTCCCAAGAAATTTGAGGTTTGCCAAGCATGTTCCCAGCCGCTTGCAGGACAGCGCAGAGGTAGTAGAAGCTCAACTGGATAGTGGTCCCAAGGACCGCCCATGGGGTTGTCCAATAGGCTGATTTATCATGAAAATGGGGGTTTAACATGGTTTAACCTATAGTTTAAACATCCTGAAATGTGGATTAATATAGCCAATCTAGTATTGCTTCCCCCCATTTTTTGGGCCGCCTGGGTCCGAAGCAGGTTTTCGATTGGGTATTCAATGTGATGGGATCAAAAGAGGACCAATGACTGTGGCCCATCATCAACAGGATGTGTTTGAAAAAGACGAGACTCCTTCGGAATTTGGGGTAGCCATTTTTGAGAACATTTTGGATGCCAGATCGTCGAAGTCGTTGATTGATTGAGATATGAATTCAACATGCGTTGAAAGAAGATTAACGATGCATACATACCCGTTGAAATTTCCACTATGTCTTGGATGGCCTCAAGGCCCATATATATATATATAGAATGAATATTTCTAGAGTTGTTTTCTACAAAATCACTTTCCTGAAGCCTGCCATTTTGTAGCATGATTGGTTTCTATGTATATGGTTGATGTTGATGGTACATTATCGAATCCTTATGCTATCAACCATATTTTTCAAGGATGGGCAGCAAATCTGAAGCGCGTAACCCCTCGCCCCTGCGTAGGAGGTGGGTAGCCAGATCCCAATGCAACAGCGTTACCTTCGAATATGCAAATGTTGATCACTTTAAAATCTCCTTTAAAAAAGGGGCTCCAATATTTGTTCATATCATTTCATATCATATGTTTTTGCATATTTCTTTTTTCCACATTTTTTTCCACATGTTTTCCATAAATATAAATATATATATATATGTGTGTGTACAACTCCTAGTTAAAGCTAGCGTTACGGTGATTTGGGTTCTCAGCATCTGTCGCTCTCCGCGGAGGAAGCCGCGGCCTTGGATGAATTGCTGAGGGCGTTGCAATGGGCGCGAGAGCGACAGAGGAACGGTGACATGGCCACCTGGTGGCAAAAATCATGGGCGAAAGATGCGAAAGATGCGAAAAGGGTGTGGAAAACTGGGATGATTTGAGCAAGAACTCAATAATTTAGGATTTTACCATACATAACAATTCATGAGGGATTAAGTGACAAATTGCGGGGAGACAACCAACAAAGAATATTCTTTTATCCAGAAAGCAACGAGGATAGGACCACTACATGGTTGGAGATAATCAAGGGAAACAGGATGAAACAAGGTATGGGATCGAGAAGGATGGTGGGGATATGAGTAGCAACAATGATGAAATGACCAACTTAAATGCGGGTATTACAAATAAGCAGGCTTAATACACGGGGTTGCCAACACAGGAGATTTTTGAAGCGAGGAATGGAAGTACAAGGAGTAACAGGGGAGATAGAGTGCAAAGAGATCCAGTACACACATGACATATTTATTATATATTATATATATATATTATACTATATATATATATTATATATATATATATATCTGGTTGGTGGTTTGGAACATTTTTATTTATCAGATATTATGGGTAAATTACAATATTTCACCAACCTGAATTAAGGCCATTTGGGGATGATTTCCAATACTAACTATGATTTCCAGTGAGGTCGCAGTGAGGTCGTTATGATTTACCCATATACTGTATATATATATATATCAGCTATATCACCTATGGAGAAATCATCCAAAGATGGGAATAGAACTGGCCAGATTTCCAGGACATGTGGATGATCCTCGATCCTCTTTTGTGCTCCGCTGACCATGATTCATCGCTATGATTTATAATGGGATTTAATGGGATTTAATCAACTATCAATGGGGAAAATCATGATTTTCATGGGATTTAATGGAATTTATTAGGATATATGATGATTTACCCTCTGGTAATTTGTCACATAGCTATTGAGAATTGCCCAGTCGACATAGTTGATTTTCCCATTAATAGCATGGTGATTTTCCAGTTCGCTATGTTAATTTACCAGAGGGTAAGTTCAAGACATTCCAACTAAAACACCTAGGGACCATGATTCCACCCACCACGAGATGGCACGAGGTGATGGTGAACTGTGCTCAAGGCCGCTCGCGGTCGGCAACTTTCACCATCGCTACTCCGATTTTTCAGGGATGGGGGGACTCTCCCAGACTTGGTCGAAAACAAAGACGGCCTGTAGTTGATGGACAAACGATGTATCACAGTCTAATCATAGTAAAAAAACACTTAAACCAAACCAAGAGAGCATTGTGGTATCTTGTGATTCAGTGAAAAGCGTTAGTTGCAAGTCATTTGGATTCGAACAGAGCACTGAGCAAGTTGAAGAGAGGACTACAGGAGACCATGTTTTTTTTCCTCCATATGGTTTACTATGGTTTACTGTATGTTCCCCTTGGCTAAGAATGCTGGGATCTGGGAACATCTGGGAAAATCATTTTTTTCACAATCACCAGTTTTCTGTAGACTCAACTTGGGATCCCATCCATTCTCCACGGAGAAGGTTGGGTCCTATGACCTATGACCTCATACCCCACTTTCAATTGGGAAGGTCACATTGCAGGCAATGATCAACCGAGGCTTTTTTTTGTGTTTTCACCAATTGTCCCCATCAGCGACTCACAAGGCTTATGTCATGGCCACCTGTGATGTCGATGTAGATGAAGCTTATGCTCGTGTGAAGAAGGCCGGGCCGGCCTTGGGCATCTGACATTGGGTTTCAGGCGAGTTACGAGCAAAAAAGACCAGCTATAGCTACATCCATATCACTTGAAGCATGGGTTTTTCAGCAGTTTAGTGCCGTTTCTGCGCTGTAGATGTTCTTGCTCACCTTGTTTAAAACACCTTAAAACTGGGTTCCCAAAATTGCGAAGCAGTTTCTCTGGTTTTTGGCCTTGGTTGAAGGCCCCATTTGAAGCCCATTTAGCGTGACTGGCAGCTTGGTATGGCCCATATCACCAGCATCACTGTCACCCCAGATTTACCCTTTTTGGCGGTTGTTCAATGTTGTTAATAGATGTTAATAGCTGCTTCATTCCTGTAAAAGGATTTGTTGATAGAGGACATGTTCTACGGAACACTAAGATACTGGCTGGAAGCCTATCCTAGTTGGAAGCGCTGACTGAATCCGAGAGCCCATCGATTCTTGGGGAACTCAAGAGACCGATTTAAAGTACTCATTTGCTGGAAAATCCCAATAGTTGGAAACTTTAACAGCAATACAAGATGGATTTTTTGGATCTTCATGGATTTTTCCAGCTTGCCATGTAAGATTGCCAGAAAACACCATCCATATGCCATGAACGTCCCAAAAAAAGATATCCCAGGATTATCCTCTGATGTTCCCAGCTTACCGCTGGGTCGACCGCTGGGTGGGATCCTTTTGATCGGGATAGGCTAGGCCCTTCATCCAGCCTAATGCGGGCTTTGTGAAGCAGCTGCACCGTTGGCAAGGCAAGCTCAAAGGCCGGACGGACGGGACGTAGCATGGATTACCCTCTGGCAAATGAACACTTCGACCCTGAAATCGCCATTTTTGAGTGGAAACAGTTTCTTCCAAGCCCTATCTGCCAGGTTCGAACTGTTAATTTACTGGAGGGTACAGTCGAACAATATCACCGATGTTTTCCAAGAACCTGAGTTTCAGTAGTTTGCGCTGGTAGTTTGCAAAAAACATTATCAGGCTTTGAATAAAGAGATATGGGAATCCAGCAACTTGCTGTTCTTGTTGCCAAGACCTGCTTTCATCCCATTCTTCTTTCATCTTGTGGAAGGTCTTTGCACTTCTTGGAGGTTGTCACTGCCGGTGACAGGGGCTGACAGGGGCTGACAGGGGCTGACAGGGGCTGACAACTTGCCAGCGATGATTCAGATGGAAAATGTTGATATCAAGCACTATCAAACTCTAGAAGCGAGGACTAATGTATATGATTCTCGATCTAAAGGTCCATGTAGAGATTGTCCATTACAATGGCCGTTTGCAGATAGAGGATTTTAGATCAACCACCATATACCCTCTAGATTAAACCAACAGATCCAACAGTTTGCTATTGAAATTTGCCATAGAAATAATTGATTTACCCATCAAAAATGCTGATTTTCCATAGTTATGCAAACGTCAACAGGTGCGCGCTGCGCGCCCCAAGAGTCGTCGCTCGTGAAAAGAGTGAGTCGCGGCGTAGCGGAAAGCGGCTGGATCTAAGGGTAGCATAACCCGGAAATAGACTTTATATAATTTATATAGATTAAATATGATTACATATATATAGTTGTAGTATGTATATATAATTAAATTTAATTATATAATATGTTTGTTTCTTCCAATAACATTATAAATCTCTATATATATACATTTTGTATATATATATCTTCACATATGATATCAACGACACAAAGCTTATGAAATCGATGACATGCCCTTTCAGCCTCCAAGAAACCTCAAAATGGGGCTCATCCCAATATGTGGCAATGTTTTCATGAGGAAAGATTTGTGTTTGACTTGAAACCATAGGTTCCAAGTGTTCTTTGTCAACTCCATGTGGACCCATGTTTTTTGTCATTTCCATCCCAAAGAAATCGTAGATCAATCAGTTCGAGAAGGGGACCAGGTACTAATGCCTGGCATATCCTGGCATATTGTTCCTGCTGCTGTTGCTTACAACATCTGATTCATATGATCCAGTGTTAGTTGCTTCACCTCTCTATGTGAAAGACGATCAGATATGATCAGATACGATCAGATACAATGAATCTATGTCGATTTCTGTGGCGGGTGCAAAATGCCCCACGATCCCCAGTGACGTTTTCTTTTCTTTGGTAGTTGATTCTAAAGTATATGCTATTTTTCCCAAGGGGGAATGACTTTCAAACATTTTCAATCCATAGTCATTTTTTGTCATCTTCCATTGCGTTTCATAGAATCCCTTCCGTATTTTGGACACGCCATAGTCACCATAGTCCCTTGGTGCGGCACTACGGCAGGTCGCGTGGGAAGCAGAGGAGTAGCCCTACTGATGCGCCTGGTGAATGGAAGTTGTGGCTGAACTTTGATGTGTTTGGTTGATGATGAACGTCGATTTTATCACTCACCTATACCATCTGGTTATGACATTCACAGTTTGCCATGGTATAGATGGTCCATAGAAATAGATGGTTTACCGAACTTAAAAATGGTGATTTTCCATGGCTATGTAAAAAATAACCAGATGGTAGATGCAACCAAAAGAGAATTAGTTAGAGTATGATTAGAGTCTTGTACCGATTTCGGATGTCAAGATGGGTGGGACTCAATCTTGGGCTTTGGAAATGGCTGGCTGTGATTTGGCTGGGACACTGGGACAGGATTTCACTGTGAACTGCGGCTGTGTTTCAGGTGAGGTGCCCCTGGGCTCTCCCAGAAATCAAGCGTAACAAATTGGTCCACTGAACAAGTCGAGTCGCCATGTTTAGTTGGTGGCTGACCAAAAACATGACAGGTAACTGGTAACTTGGGTCAGACTCAAGTGCCGTTAAATAGCGATCCATAGCGGCTTACCGATCCGCTTTGGTGTCGATTCGCCCCCGCGCTTTCCGAAAAAAAGGGGTTGCAGCCGGAGGCAGTTGAGATTTCGAGAAGCAAAGTCAGAGAAGGATTCTTCTCCACGTCTTTTTTTTTGAAAAATATGAACACATTGAATTTCTTTTTTTGGAGGGAACAATAGCCATATTCATATGAAAAACAGAGTTCATATTCTCCAATTGTCCATTTCTTCTGTGAAAGTCACTGGGAATGCATTGCGGCAAATTCCATCCCTTGATCTTTAGTCTTGGCTCCGCTGCTGATGTGAGCAGGCCATCTGAACAATGGTGAGTAGTTTGCATTTTGACTGTGGCAAAAGCATTGAAAAAAAAACGATCCCCAGCACTAATGGTTGGTGACAAAAAACAGATATATCTTATACTAGTTGTTTATAATTTATATGATCAACTAATGGTTAGTTGATATTTGTTGTTTATAATTTTATATAACACAGCACTTTAATCCATCTAACATGGTGAGTTGATGTTAGTTGAAACGGCAGGTTTCCGCATCATCGTTACGGCTTGGTGACGACGACTGGGACGGCTCCAAAAATCACCTAGGCAACATCTATAACGAAGTGGGGATGGATCTAAACCATGTATGTTTTTTACATTTGTAATATTTCTATTTATCTTGTTTTGGAAGATCATATAATATCATATACCACATTTTTTGGGGGGGAGGAACATCCATCCATCACAAAATCGCTGTGACCTGTGCGTGATTTCTCACAACGATGGAGCCTGGCGGAGCCTGCGCTTTCGGCGGGGATGATACCGTGACGCCTGGCGAAGAAGTACTAATTTCCCAGGGATTTAGCAGGTTAACTAACTAATGGATTATTAGTACTAACTAGTTGATTTCCCATATAGTTTGTAATATCCAAATAATATATAGTTAGTAATAAGAAGTTGATTGGAGTTGTTGAAAGTTACCATTAATGATGGGATATATAACGATTAACTGATGGAATATTGATATAATGGGATATGCAAGTATTCTTATACTATATATTTGGGATGAACATCCGTAAAACCTATCTATTTTGATGTGAACAGAAGGGCAAACACATAGCCAAATTAGGTATGTGTTTTTGTTTGGGAGCATGGAATGAACATGGAGTTTCAAATCATGAGACACGCCAATGTCTACACGGCATTTGCTCTAAAGATTTGCTTCGCTGACTTCGATTTCGGCTCCGTTTTTGCCAGGTTCATGATTTCAATAGGCATGCCCCAAAAAAGGAACACTCTGGGGGAACGAACTTCGATTCAAAGCTCAAAAAACTGAAAAAAATACGGGTACAGTACCTATTTTGGGCCATAGCGATTTTTTGAACCTCGCCAATGCAAGCAGTGAGCTTTTAGGTACCCTCTGGATCCCTCTGGTAGTTTAAATGCCTGGTAGTTATCGCAACTTTGGAGAACTATGGGGGGATCATCTGCCATGTCAAGTTCATCCCAACTTCAATCGTGGATGATAGATCCAGATATTTCTCCATTTACACAGATTGGATCCCAACTTTGATATATATGTAAATGGATATATAAGATTTTAAAATTGATGGTTATCATTTGGATCCCATCATCGATCCATCTCCATTTAAATGGATATGGATATATAAGATATCATTTACACATATTGGATCCAGATATTTCTCCATTTACCCTCTGGTTATGACATTCACAGTTTGCCATGGTATAGATGGCCCATAGAAATAGATGGTTTACCGAACTTAAAAATGGGTGGATCTTTCCATGGCTATGTTAGTCATAACCACATGGTACACAGATTGGATCCCAACTTTAATATTAGGATATATAAGGATCATCTACCAATGGGGGTTTTCCCCCTCGATGGCCGACACTGCAATTTTTTGGAAGGGGACCCTGAAGGGGATAGACTCCCCATAGCCCCATAGAGTGGAGAAGATTTTCTTAACTTGGGCTGATCGGACTTGGTTTATTATGTTCATAGAAGTGGTTTATTTCTACCTGGCCTTTCTATCCGAAACTCTTTGGATCAATAGTCATGTTGTCCCCAAAGTGCCCAAGGCAGTTTCTGTGGTGCAACCCTATAGGTATCGGAAAAATCAAGGGTTATGGATCAAAAACCTGGTGGTTCTAGGTACCCTAAAATAGCTGGTTAATGAGGGTTCATGGATGGGTAGTAATAGGTTTTGACTCTTTTTGACACATTTTCCAATCACCAGAAATTCGAGGCATTTTTCATCCCAAGGAAATCGTAATCGTTATATACATCCCATCATTGGTGAATCTTTCAATTCCTTTCCAAACACAAAAATGGTTAATAGTTAATACTTCTATATCCCAATAGATACAACGGTTGGTGGTGACTGGAACATGAGAACATGACTGGATTATTTTTCCATATACTGGGAATTTCATCATCCCAACTGACGAACTCCATCATTTTTCAGAGGGGTAAGTTCAAACCACCAACCAGATATATCTATATATCTGTGTAAATTATAACGACCTCACTGCGACCTCACTGGGAATCATGGTTAATAAGGGGAATCATCCCCAAATGGCCCAACTATTCGGGTTAGTGAAATATTTGTAATTTACAAAGATATATATAATCAATCCATGTGAATCCCTTGAATTTTTTCAGGAAATCCTCGGTGACTTCCATGGTGGACAGTGTGGGTCAGCTCTTGCAGAGGGGCTCAGCCCTCAATGCCCCGGCGCCACCCTCAGCCCTGCTGGCGCCACCGGCGCCACCCAAGCCGCCCCCCGCCACAGAGGTGGGGGGATCCAACAAAAAAAACTGGATGTTGGATGGATTTCACCTGGAAAAGCACTGGTTTTTGGTGATTTTTGGATGATTTCACCTGAAAATCCATGGATTTTTGGAGAATTTAGCTGAATTTCATCTGAAACGTGAATTTGATGGGATGGTTTTGGTGGAATTCACGTGGAATTTCAAGTGGAGTTCTTGGTGATTTTTGTGGATTTCCGCTGAACAAAGTAGCTTTTTGGGGGAGACTTCACAGGAACAGATGATGTTTTCTTTGACCATCACCAGCCGAATGTAGGGATTTGAGCTGCAAGACATGGGATTTGAGTGGGAAACAAAGGGAATCAGATGTTTTACAAAAGACCATTTCGCGTATTTCACCGGAAGGAAATGTATGTCTTTTTGACTTCAGCAGCACATATTTGAGATTTTAAAGCCAGAACTGTGATTGTGGTATCAAAAACTTTTGCACATATATTTCATCAGCAGAGAATTGGATTTGATTGCAAAAGGTTGGATTTGCTTCACATATGTTCACATGATTTCTCAAAATGTTGTGGGATGAACGGAAAATATGGCGCGGACCAACGCTGTTTTTTCCTCCATGCAGAAGCCAACAACAACAACAACAACAACAACTTGGATTTCACCATCAGCCAAAAAAAAACTTATGGAATAGATAGATATAAATGGGGGTACCCCAGTCATCATCCAGCTATTTCTTTGGGATTTTCCATGAAATAAACCATCCATTTACATTTAGCCATCTTCTGTACTTTCCATCAGGGATTCACAGTCAGCAAAGATCTCCAACTCATGGAGTTTTGCCAGCTTTAGCCATATTTGTCCACATCTGAAATCTAAATTGTCAACGAATTAATAACCATTGACTTTGATATCCTGTGATCAATGGTATAAGAACTAGTATTAGTATATACTGATCATAGTATAACCATATATAAGCATATATAACCATATATAGCCATTGATTATGATCAAAAAAATGTCTATCTATGGCTATCTATACATTTTTTTTTCCCCACCTGCCAGGTGAGGGTTGTTAGATTTTATGTCAGTTGCCTCCTCCTGCCTCGTCCTCCTCCTCCTCCTCTCCTCCTCGTCCTCCTCGTCCTCCTTGTCATCCTTGTCGTCCTTGTCGTCCTCGTCGTCCTCGTCGTCCTCGTCGTCCTCGTCGTCCTCGTCCAACTGCGACCAGCGATCCACAGTGTTCTCTGCCGGACCTCAACCACGACCATCCACGCCCAGTGTTCCCTGCCGGACCTCAACCACGACCATCCACGCCCAGTGTTCCCTGCCGGACCTCAACCACGACCATCCACGCCCAGTGTTCCCTGCCGGACCTCAACCGCGAATATCCACGCCAAGTGTTCCCTGCCGGACCTCATGTAGGAAGATATGGGACAAAGAATGTGCAGAAGAAAGTTAGAAAGAATGTCGAAAGAATGTCAGAAGATATACCAGAAGATATGCCAGATAGAATGCCAATTAGAATGCCAGATAGAATGCCAGATAGAATGCCAGAAGATATGTCAGAATATATGCCAGAAGGTATGCCAGATAGAATGCCAGATAATATACCAGAAGATATGCCAGATACAATGCCAGATAGAATGCCAGAAGATTTGCCGGATAGAATGCCAGAAAATATGCCAGAAGATATGCCAGAAGATATGCCAGAAGATATGCCAGAAGATATGTCAGAATATATGCCAGAAGATATGTCAGATAGAATGCCAGAAGATATGTCAGAATATATGCCAGAAGATATGCCAGATAGAATGCCAGATTGAATGCCAGAAGATATGTCAGATAGAATGCCAGATTGAATGCCAGAAGATATGTCAGATAGAGTGCCAGAAGATAGAATAGAATGCCAGAAGATTTGCCAGATAGAATGCCAGAAGATTTGCCAGAAGATATGCCAGATCATATGCCAGAAGATATGCCAGATAGAATGTCAAATAGAATGTCAGAAGATATGTCAGATAGAATGCCAGAAGATTTGCCAGTAAGAAAATGTATAAATGTCATGGTGGGGATCACACGAAGTAAAGTAATTAAATGACTATCTACTGCTATCTATGGCTATCTATGATCATAGTTCTTAAAAAGATATGACTTTGGTCCTATCCGTATCCATTCGCGGTGGGTCAGGCCTCAGGCTACTGGACGCGTGTGCGTGCGGTGAGTCCGCCACCGGCACCGAGCATTGTACGTCAAGCGAGGGTACCTCAACTGGCGGATGGGTGAAACGGTGAACCCCCAAAACCGCTGGGATTAACTCCATCAAAATCATCAAAGAATTAGCCATCAACAGTGATATTTTGGATATGTTGGATATTCAACAATCATTGGTTTAACATGGTTTAACATGGTTTAACTCATCAACTGGAGGCAGGTACTGTAGGCATAAAACATTGAGATTTGAGCATCAAACCATGGACGCTCATCCCAAGATGGATTTTGTTCACGATTGAAGCATCACCTAGCCATCTCTTTGATGGAAGTTCAATGAAAGCATTAGGATTTACCATCTGGTTATGACATTCACAGTTTGCCATGGTATAGATGGCCCATAGAAATAGATGGTTTACCGAACTTAATAGCATGGTGGATCTTTCCATGGCGAACTGTTAGTCATAACCAGATGGTAATCTGAATGGGGCCGCAGCAACAAAAAGGCCTGTTTTCGATTGATGGCAGCCAGGGATATTGCTGAACCATGGGATAACCCAAGCAGAATCAACCAAAGCCAGTGGAAAGTGGAGATTTTGATAAGGGTCCCAAGACCTTTCTGGATACCCAGGTACCCCCTGGAAAAGTGTGGAATCTTGGACCCTGAAAGCAAGCTGAAAAAAGTTGGAACACCTGGACCTGGCTATTTTTCAGAGTATATGTTTTGGGGATATCGTTCCTAAGCGGCGAGGTATCCCCAAGTGGATTGTTTGGCAACCAAAACTCTTGCTGGTTTCTGGTTTGATTATCCCCTGATGACTCACAGCGTCAGATTTTTCAGGCTGGATCAACCATCCCATTCTACTGAGTAGCTACTGCTTGGCGTTTCGCCCAAAGTCAGGGTTTCCCCCCAGTTGTCAGTTGGTTTCGAATCAAACACAAATCATCATTTTCAGTGAAGTTCGAAATATATCTACTACTGATCTGCTACCTTTTTCCCCACCTGCCAGGTGAGGGTTGTTAGATTTTATCAGAGTTGTTCTCCTCCTCCTCCTCCTCCTCGGCTAGCTATCCTCCTCCTGCTCCTCCTGCTCCTCCTGCTCCTCCTCCGGCAGCATCTCCTCCACCACCTCTGCCTCCACTTCCACGTCCACTGTTGCCTTGCCAACTCTTCGCCAAGCTCTTCGCCAACGTCCGAGCTCAGTGTGCACCACGGGACCTCAACCTGGGACCTTCCCAGCTCAGTTGGCACCGCTGGACCTCAACCTGGGACCTTCCCAGCTCAGTGGGCACCGCTGGACCTCAACCTGGGACCTGCCCAGCTCAGTGTGCACCGCTGGACCTCAACCTGGGACCTTCCCAGCTCAGTGTGCACTGCTGGACCTCAACCTGGGACCTGCCCAGCTCAGTGTGCACCGCTGGACCTCAACGGCCAGATAGAATGCCAGAAGATATGCCAGATAGAATGTCAGATAGAATGCCAGAAGATATGCCAGATAAAATGCCATGAGATATGTCAGATAGAATGCCAGAAGATATGCCAGATAAAATGCCATGAGATATGTCAGATAGAATGCCAGAAGATATGCCAGATAAAGTGCCAGAATGTTTGCCAGATAGAATGCCGCCCAGAAGATTTGCCAGATAATATGCCAGAAGATATGCCAGATAGAATGCCAGATGGAATGCCAGATGGAATGCCAGAAGATATGCCAGAAGATATGCCAGGTAGAATGCCAGAAGATATGCCAGATAGAATGCCAGATGGAATGCCAGAAGATATGCCGGAACATCTGCCAGAAGATATGCCAGGTAGAATGCCAGAAGCTATGCCAGATAGAATGCCGGATAGGATGCCAGATAAAATGTCAGATAGAATGCCAGAAGATTTGCCAGTAACAAAATGTATAGATGTCATGGTGGGGTTCACGCGAAGTAAAGTATTTTTTCCGGATTTTCCATGAAATCCACCTTCCATCCAGCTATTGAGGTACCTCCCTTATAGAACACCCTCCATATATCGACAGCACCCAGGATGCTGAGCTCTTGGCTCCACAAAGCTTGCCGGGAAGCTCAGGATATGCCATAAACCAGCCATGACTGGGAATGGTAAGTTTATATCACCTATAAAAATGGTAATGACTGGGGGATGATTTATGGCATTGTTTTAACCACATTTGTCATATCTATATCTATATATATATATATTATACATGTATATTATTTTCTTTGTGTCAGCCTGTTAAAACTTGCTCACCCATGAATATCTATTCTTTCCTGCTCTTATTCTCATCGAGTCTTCAGAATTAAAGAATTATTGATAATCTTATTTGGTATAATCTAATCTTTGTATTCTTATCATATCTCTTATAATCCAATCCAATCCATTCTAAATCCACTCTAATGAAATCTAGTGTAATCTAATCTATTTCCAATCTGATTTATACACACAATTCCACTGGAGAAACTGCGGGGTCCGCCGAGATGTCATACCAATCCAAGCTTGGGTTGTATTGGAGGTTGAAATCCACTGTGATGGCCAGTACATGATACATGGATGTAGAATGTACGGGTGAAGTCCGTCTTGGCAACGCCAGGGAAATCACCCATCGAAGTGTGGCAGAGCCGCCAGAGAGTCACATGACTTGACCGGGGCCATTACCTCCAACGAGCATGGAGAATCTTATTGCGGACATCTTCAAAGACTTCCAAGATCTGCTGATCATATGTAGAGTCTGTTCCAAGCGGCCAACCAAGCCTAGACTGCAGTGGGCAGTGAGGTTTTTGAGGTGGAAAGGGCATGAACGAACAACGAGCAGGACACGACCACACACAGTGGTCCAGCGTGCCATATTCATGATTACACTGGGGGCAATGCGTTGTTGCCCGCTGCACAAATTTCTTGCGACTAGGGAATCTTTGAGAACGATGAGGATTATCACGTGCTTGTATGAAAAAGACCATAGGGGAAACAAAAGCTCCGGTCATGATATTTCGAGTACATGATACATGGACCATTAGTGCTGCATTATATTTATTGACCTAAAGAATTGAACATATTGAACATGATCAGCAAATGCTATTCAATCCACAGGGCTTTTGGTGAGGGGATGAAGTATAAATTGCATTTCATTCCAGTTGAATCCCCATGATTTGCTGGTTGATTCATTGGTTGAAGATCGAAAGCTCATCAGTGTTGATTGCAAATATTGCCATGATATCCGCATGATATTTCCATGATATCCCCAACATGTATGCCCATTCTGAATTTACCATCTGGTTATTTAACATAGCCATGGAAAATCATGGAAAATCACCATTTTTAATAGGTAAACCATCTATAAATGGGCCATTTTCCATGGCTATGTTAAATAACCAGAGGGTAATCATGATATTTTAATCTCTATGATATCTGCATGATATCGGTGAGATCCCCTGCCAGGTCCCCCTGGGTTTTGCCCGAGAAAGCCGGCAACGGCGGCAACGCGGGAGCGTTGCCGGAGCATGAAGCGCAGCTCCTCGGGCGGCTTTTGCAAGGCGTGAACGGTGGCAGCTCCTCGGGCTTTTGCAAATGAGGAATCCGAGCAACGCATATTTGCCCTTGCCGGACAGTCTCACTCACATGGCTAGCACCGTGCATGCAGGATTTTCTGATGCATCACTGAACCATACCGAATCATAAAACACAGACTTCAGCACTGCAAGTCGCTCCAAGTTTTGGCTTAGAACTACTCATTTCCGAATCGCTAAAACCACATCCCTTCCCAACTGGGCGCGATGCAGCTTCGGTACTATCGCACCTTTATTGATGTGGAGATGGAAAGCCATGAGACCCATGATTCTCACAGACGAGTCAAGTTCCTTGGTCACCTCCGGATCTCCTGTGAGAAAAAAGTGGTTTCATCCCATAAAGGAGGTTTTGGGATGGTGCGAAACATGGCGGTGCCATGATCAAAAGTTGGATTCCCCATATTGGGATGGTCATCAATCCACTAACAGGTTTAAGTAGACCCATTATGTATCATTAACGTATGGATTCCACATATGGCATGGATGAGCATGGTTGCGATGAATGCCATCTACCATGGCACGCACTTTGCATGTTTGCGATTCATCCTGCACCCGTTGGAAACTCTTGGGATTCTGGTGCAGGATTTCGCAACCATCCAAAGCCCGCCTGCAGGTCCTGTCCTCCTGGATCTCAGATACTTGAGACCTTTGAACCGGAGGAGGAAGTGACACGTCGTGCGAATGTCAGGGGGCTGGAAGACAGGGCAAAGGACCGAAACGGAGCTGGGTGAGGAATCTGGATCTAACTGGGAACATATCTTTTCGAAATCTGGGACTGAAGATGAATAGATAATATGAATAATATGATACGAACTAAAGATCTAAATCGATCTAAATCCATCTAACTCCTGTAGGTTTGGGGTTTAAACGGTTGAGCATGGACGCAGGAGGGAATTTGCAGAAGTGGAGAACAAGGTAAATCTTGGCGAAGAAAATCCAAAAATCCACCCCAACCAGTCCCAAAACTCTGAGTCCCTTAGCATTTTTGGGTGTCGGCGAGAACCAGCCACTACGAGCTCTGGTCAAAAGCCTGTGGTTAAACCTGTTTCCGCTGCCAGGTTGCAGCAGGTTCGCTCGGTGACTGTCCTATTTTTTTGAAAGATCACCTGAATTGATCATCTGGTTGGTGGTTTGGAACCATGGAACTTTATGACTTTCCATATTCATTGGGAATGGAATAATCATCCCAACTGACAAAGTCCATCATTTTCCAGAGGGGTAGGCCAACCACCAACCAGTCATCTGGTTGGTCATGATTCTTCTTTCGGCCAGTCGGCAAGGCCAGGTATTTCAGTCGCTGTGAGTATGGATCAACAGTGTATCGATATATTCTGGTTGGTGGTTTGGAACATGTTTTATTTTTCCATATATTGGGAATAGAAACCCCAACTGACTAATATTTTTCAGAGGGTTGAAACCACCAACCAGTATTCAGGCTCGCATTTTTTATTCTAGTTGACCTCCATGAGTCACTAACGTAGCGTTTGGAAATCCCTGCGTTTCCCTGTGAATTTCGTCAGGCATGGAAGAATCTTTCCATGTCTATGTCTATGTTACTTTGTTTACTTGAGGGTACCCACAATGTTTTCATTTATGGACAATTGAAAAAAGCATGCGAAAATCAGCCAGGAGTTGACACTGAAGCGGGACTTACCTGGATCTACTTGTAGTGATCCACTGGCTGGTTTGCTGTCGCGTGGTGCCTCGGTCGACGGTTTTTTTTCCACCACCTGCCAGGTGTGGTCAGTAGGCATGGCCGGACCTCAACGGCGATGTCAGAATATATGCCTGGAAATGCCACGGTGGGGATCACTCGAAGTAGAGTATTCTCTAAATATATATATATACACATATAATATGATATAATATAGTATAATATGATATATCATATCATATAATATAGTATAATATAACATAACATATAATATATAATATAATGTAATATAGTAAAATATAATGTATAATATGGTATGATATTATATAATATAATATAAATATGATATGATATGATATAATATAATATAATATAAATATGATATGATGTAATATTAATATAATATAATATAATTTAATATAATATAATATAATATATAATAGAATACAATACAATACAATATACCAGTAGTACCGCACAAGGCGGTGGCGGAAGTTTCAAAAGTAGGAAGCCTATAGGAGAGGTTGGTTGTTGTGAATCACGGATGGCAGAGCGAATCCACTGATGGACCGAAAGGTGGTTGGAGTTTTGTTTTTTGGAGTGGTTGCAATGTTTGCAGTGGTCACCTCCCCCACAACTGCTGGATGTAGTGTGGTGTAGTGCAGCTGCACCTCCCCCACAACTGCTGGATGTAGTGTGGTGTAGTGCAGCTGTAGTTGTAGTTGTAGTGTAGTGAAGCTGTAGTTGTATTGTGGTGTAATTAGTGTAGTGTAGTTTCAGTTGTAGTTGTGGTTTGGTGCAATGAGTGTAGTGTAATGTAATGTAGTGTAGTGTGCTGTAGTGTTGCGTGCTTTAATGTAGTCTAGTGTCGTGTAGTCTAGTGTAGTGTAGTGTAAAGTGGTGTAGTGTAAAGTGGTGTAGTTGTAGTTGTAGCTGTAGTGGTTGCTGTATTTAGTGTAGCGTAGTGTAGTTTACTGTTGTGTAATGTCGTGTAGTGTAGTGTAGTGTAGTGTAATTAGTGTAGTGTAGTGTAACGTAGGTTTAGCTGTAGCTGTAGCTGTAGCTGTAGCTGTAGTTGTAGTCTAGTGTAGTGTAGTGTAGTGTAATGTAATTAGTGTAGTGCAGTGTAGTGTAGTTGTAGCTGTAGCTGCAGCTGCAGCTGTAGTAGTAGTAGTAGTAGTAGTAGTATTAGTAGTAGTAGTAGTAGTAGTAGTAGTTGTTGTTGTAGTGTAGTGTAGTGTAGTGTAGTGTAGTGTAATGTAGTGTCGTGTCGTGTCGTGTCGTGTCGTGTAGTGTAGTGTAGTGTAATTAGTGTGGTTTAGTGCAATTAGTGCACTGTAGCGTAGTATATTTGCATTTGTAGCTCTAGTGGTAGTGTAGTTGTAGTTGTAGTTGCAGTTGTAGTTGTTCATCTATCTATCTATCTTTCTACCTACCTATCTATCTATCTGTCTATCTATCTATCTATCTATATCTATCTATCTATCTATATCTATCTATCTATCTATCTATATCTATCTATATCTATATCTGTATCTATATCTCTATCTCTATCTATCTATCTATCTATTGATCGATCGATCTATCTATCCATCTATCCATCGATCTATCTATCTATCTAATCTAATCTTATCATTTCTTATTTTATCTATCTTATCTTTCTTATCTATTTTATCCATCTTTTCTATTTTATCTTATCTGTCTTATCTATCTTTTCTATCTTATCCATATTTTCTATTTTTTCTTATCTGTCTTATCTATCTTATCTATCTTATCCATCTTATGTATCTTATCTTTCTTATCTATCGTATCTACCTTATCTATCGTACATATCTATCTATCTGATCTTATCTATCTTATCTTATCTTATCGATTTTCTCCATCTAATCTATCTAATCTATCTTATCTATCTTTTCTATTTTATCTCATCTGTCTTATCTATCTTATCTATCTTATCTATCCTATCTATCTTATGTATCTTATCTATCTTTTCTTATCTTATCTGATTTTGTCTTATCTTATCTTTTCTTTTCTAATCGATCGATCTATCTATCTATTTATCTATCTATCTATCTATCTATCTGTCTATCTATCTATCTATCTATCTATCTATCTATCTATCTATCTATGTGCAAGTTTGAAAACGAAGCTATTCTGCAAGGCTTCCTCCATTTTCGAAGGTGACAACATCAAAAACGAAGCAATCCTGTGAGACTTCCTTAACTTTTGAACTTGATAACGTCAAAAACAAAGCCTCAATTTTTGAAGTTGTCAACATCAAAAACGAAACAATTCTGCGAGACTTCCTTCAATAGTGGAAAATTGAGTGCAGAGCTGGCGGCCTCATACCAATGCGTTTTGCGGTTTTTGCACTTCATCTGTCGAAAGTGCTGCGCCTGCCACGAAAAAATGATGCCAGGTCATTCTCTTCTTTTCATCTGTCCATATTGTCGGAAGTTTACTTCTAAGCTTCCTTCGATAGTATCTATATATATATATAGAATAATGTTTTTATATAGGATATATAAAATAGAATATATATAATTTAATTTAAGGATGGTTGGCATGTTGAATTACCAAACATGAGGGTTTTTGCCGAAGCAGAACATTGGCTAGTGGTTGCAGACATAGTCTTTTCCATCGCATGGGAAGATGATCCATTGACGTTTTTTTTTTTTGCGATAGGTGGTTTGTCCCAGAGTTGGTTGAAGGGAAAATTTGGAACCCCCCATATTTGGGTCAAAACCATGACAGTCATGGTCTCCTGTAAATTTGCTCGACGCCAATCAATTGAACATCAGGAAAGTGGACTCTGGTACGTCCCAACATGACTTGAAATCACCAAAAACTATTGAGAAAAGGACACTCTTGGGCTACTGAGGGGCCTTTGCTCTTGAGATTTGCCCATTTTGGGTCTGAAGTGAATCAGTCGTTTTTGGACGGTTCAAGAGTAGTGTGCAGACAGGCACATATTTGTCTGTTTAGCAGTTTAGCAAAGGAAGCTACGGTCATCCAGAGCTTTGTCGTCGTCCATGCCTCTTTTTGGTGCAGAAACAGGACTGGATGGTCTCTTCAAGTTTCGCTTTCCATTCCAATTTAGCAAAATTTATCATGGATTAGTCCATGAGCTTTCCATTCCAATTTTTGCATGATTAGTCCAACTAACTCATATTTATCGGGGGTGGCTGAAAGCTGGGGATGGGGATATATGGGGATGGTTCCAGCTGACTGGCTGACTTCTCCATTGAATTGCCACCATTCTTCGCCTACCACCAAAGGGAACACGTAGTTATTTTCACTGTCATCATCTTGAGGTTCCACAAATTGATTCATATAATTACTTATAACATATATATATATGATTATATATGGGTAAATTATAACGACCTCACTGTTCTCCCGAGCCCTGGAATCATGGGTAATAAAGGACATCATCCCCAAATGGCCTTAATTCAGGTTAGCGATGAAATATTTTAATTTACCCATATATATATACACATACACAATGTATGCAATGTAATAACTGTATTTAATGTAATTAACGTAATGTAGTGTACTGTAGTGTAATGTGCTGGAATGGAACGGAAAGGAATGTATGTACATATATGTGTGTATATATACACAGGAATATAATGAATATGTCTTACAACATGATATAGATATAATTATATAATTATATAACTATATAATGTTTTTTTATTGCTATAATATTGTTATAATTACCATTGTAAACAAATATATTTGATATTTTTTACCAATTATACAGACAAAAAATGATAACTAATTAAATACATACATAAACAAATAAATAAGTAAATAAATAAATAAATAGATAATATATATATATATATCAATATACAGTGCATATATGCATATATATATATATACACACATAGAAGCAACATCCGTAACTTGGATTCCAGCGTTGCGGACGGCCAGTGCCAGGAGTGTTTGAAAGGTGCTTCCTGCGACTTCTGCCACTTGGAACATTCCAAGTTGCCTAGCCTCGATGGCCTCCAGCGGAGGACCCTCAGTAGCCTTTCACAATCCCAGCTGCTGCCTTTGCTGATTGCACCACTGAGGGCCAAGGTGAAAAAATCATGGCGATGGTGGGTGGTGAATTTCTTTTGGAGCGGACAAGAAGTGTTAAAAAATGAGGATGATATTATAGAAAGCAATACATATTGGGGATTATCATCATGCATGAACTGGGAAGGACTCACCAGCCAACCGTGGGATATATCAATGGGCTATGAATGATGGATTCAATGATTTTTCGCTATGACATGGTCAAAAAATTTGCCGAGTTTCCAGACCAAAAGACGTTTTGCCAGAATCCACATTTGACATCAGATTTCACTCACCGATGGTCAAATGTGATGGGGTTCCACATCACTGGGCAACCGGATGGTTAAATCATGGTGACCCTGTCAAAGATATCCGAAGATCATGGTTTTGGAGGAACTATCAGCAATATACCCTATAACTAACATAACGATGGAAAATCACTATGGAAAATCACCATTTTTTTCAGATATGTCTCTATGGAAAATCACTATGTTCAAGACCCCCCCTGGTAAACGTTTACATAACTATGGAAAATCACCATTTTGAATGGGTAAATCAACTATTTCTATGACCATTTTCAATAGCAAACTAAACAAATTACCAAAGGGTAGTTTCCGGATTAATACATGACCCCAACAAAAACCAGGGCACCAATCCAGGGGCCCTAGTTTCCAATTTCAACACCATTTTTATGGTGCTTTTTGCGAAATTCTCCAGGTGTAGGGTGGACGGCATGAAGCTTCAGAATTATTGCAGCTGCTGGAAACGTCTTGTCCTTCAGAGTTCCAGGGCAGTGTTGGACACGCCTTGGTCTCGGCGATGAAGGTGGCTGGGTCTCGGTGGCTGGGGCTGGGTCCAGGATGCGACCCAGCATTGAAAAAACCATAGACCATACCCCTTGAGTTGCGAGGACCGAACATTGAAACCTGGATGATAAATATGATTCAAATTGGTGGTTGCTACTTCATGCAAATGAGTCTGAGTAGCCATGAGTAGCCGTTTTGTAGTCATATATAATAGTTGGTCCATGTTGGTCCATAGTTGGCTTCTTGTTTGGGTTCCTGGACATTGGTTGGTGGGATGGTTGGCACCCACAGCACTTCCTTGTCTAACCGTTTAGCAATTCCTTGGGTAGCAATGCCCATTCAGATTGATAGATTGACACCTGTTCAGATCGACCAATTTCCTGAGAATCGCAATCTCAACCCTCAAAGCAGTACCTGCAATCTGCAAGAATGATGCCTTTCTGAATCCTTTAGCCTTTTCAATGTTTTCCCTTCGGCAATCATGGTACTGGCAAATCTTCATTTACTGTAGTTTCATGATGTTCCCAGCTACAAACTTCAGTTTTCACGAGGGAAATCGCTCAAAAAAAACAGCCATGGATGAAAAAATCGCCCAACTGCAACTGCTGAAACCTCAGCCAGGTGCTGAAGAAGATGTCCTTGATGGCGTTGCTT